AGCCATTTTTTCTTCTTGAATCGATCACATGTAAACTCAAGAAAAATCAACTCTCAAGTCTGATGTCAGCTGTGAGTCTATCTCTTCTCTCTAGATTATCAGTTCAACAAAATAAAAAGTCGAATAACAGAAGTTTAGTCATGAAGTTTGCTATTAACGTTCTTGGATTATTTCTTCCAAACAAACCGTATATGTATTTGTAGATATAAAATACATATACGGTTTAAATCATTAAAAACCTATATAAAACATCCATTTCACACCCATCTCAAATAAGCAAACAATACATAACACATAGCACGTATTTTACCGCAGATACTTCATATTTATGTGTTAGAAGAAAGTAACTAGACACTCACTTGATAAGACGATGATCGGACAATATCTCGTCTCTTAAAATAATCTTTTCCGATAATACCGGGACGTTTTCTCCAAAACCAAGCTTCACGCAGGCAGATTTTTGGCTCGAAAATTATTTTTCTCGGGATCTTCGGGGCTTCGGGACTTGCTTCGGGTGTCGGGATTGATACCGAGGCTTCGGGGGTATAAATTGCCAAGAAGAAGAAAGAAAAAGGGGAGAGAAGTGAAAATTAGCAAACAATCCGGTTGGGGGTCGCATCGTATTTATAGGGGCTGAACCCCGGGTTACGTTGGGCGTAATCAAAAGTTACGCGGGGGTAAAACCTCGTCTACATGTACGCTGGGCATACTCGTGGTACGCTGGGCGTACCGGGTGGATCAGATCGGGTGTGTCACGAATTCGGGTATTATCCGAATAAATAATTTTATTAATATATTTTAATTATTTAGAAACTTCAGAAATTCATATCTTCCTCATACGAGCTCCAGTTTTGATGTTCTTTATATCCACGCGTAGGTGAAACTACGCTCTACAACTTTCGTTTAGACTCCGTTGGCAAATTTTGACTTTATTTTTATTATATTATTTTTAGTAGACCGGGACAGGAAAACTCCGTTATAAAATCATAACTTCTTCATCTGACGTCCGTTTTCGTCAGTCTTTTTACCGTTGGACTACAATTGATGAGATCTTCGATTCTTGTTTAGGTTGTATCGGCTAGAAATCGCTTGATCTCATATTCACACTTTGGGCTGCATACCGCTAAGTTGAAACTTCGAAAAATCATAACTTCCTCATATGAAGTCAGATTTAGACGTTCTTCTTATGAACGCTCTCGGTTTAACATATTCTACGACTTTCGTTTAGATTGCTAAGGCCAAATATTGCTCTATCGTAAATTCACTATTTACGTCGCGTTGTGTCGTGCCGGTTCTGTCGCGAAACTTCGACAGATCATAACTTCTTCGTTATAACTCGGATGTCGGCTTTCTTTATATTTTCGGAAACCTTGCCACGGCCACTATAACTTAGTTAAGATTATTTCATTCTAAATCTTCTATCAAAAAGTCACTTTTGATGCTTATTGTCTCTAAATTGACTAACCCTGATCCATGGGCGTTACAACACACACAAGAATTATTTAATAACTTGGAAATATTAAATAATAATTATTGGAAAATTAACCTAAGTCAATATTAGACTTAATGGATTAAGTCCTTAATGAGTTAAGTAAGAAACACTTAACCCTAATCATCATTTCATGTGAAAACCCTAATTTTGGGATTTTGGGCTTGGACTTATCGGAACCCTCATTTGGGCCATTGGAATGGAATTGTGTATTAAGCTCAATCACACCATATGACTTATTTAGTAAAGTGAGGGACTTAATGGATTAAGTGAGAAACACTTAACCCTAATTGTCATTTTATGTGAAACCCTAATTTCATTTAGACTTTGTGTTGGGCCTTTCCATCAGGCTTTGGCGATTGGACTATTAATGGGCTTTCCAAGAATAAGCAAATAGACTAAATAATTATATGGGTTTTAGGACAAGTCCCATGTGAGAGTCTTGGGCCCAATTTGGAAAATTGCATCATAGATGGGTTATAACTGGGCCTTTATGGTTATGTGATATTGGGCCATATGTTGGGCTTTACCCCATTGGTTGACTATTGGGACTTTGGAGTTTGATTTGGACCTTGGGCTTGGAACCTAATCATTAATTGGGTGTTGTTTAATTTTTGACAGCTTGGGAATCTGTCAACCAACAACTGAAGTTTTGTCTGCGGGACTTCAGCAGTGCGCCAGGTGAGTTTCCCTCACTATACTCAAGGGTCTAAGGCACCAAGGCCAACCCTTTGGATTGTTATCTGGTTATGATATGCTAGTATGATCTGTTAGATCGGTATCCTAGAGGGTATGATAATATTATGTGGTATGTGGTATGATCTGTTAGTTCGATATCCTAAAGGGTGGGATAATATTATATGTTATGTGGTATGATCTGGTAGATCAGTTTGTTGTCTATAGACTATTATGTGATTATCTGTTATATGTGCACATGTTTGTTTGGTGTTTGAGGCTTATCTGCTTTGTGCGAAAGCCAATAGACCTGGGCATTCCAACCTGTTGGTTGTGGGCCTGGGGTATTCCAACCCGATGGTTGATTTGACTCATAGTATGTTGTTTATGATTATGTGTGTATTGTTGTTCTTATGAGTATTTTGGGGGAACTCACTAAGCTTTCGAGCTTACAGTTTTAGTTTATTGTTTCAGGTACATCAGGGGATTGTGGCAAGGCAAATGCATGATCTTACAACTCCTCACTTTTTATGACTTGGGTTTCTGGGATACTCTGATATGATACATTTTGGAAACAAGTTTGGTAATGGTTAAAAGATCTGAAATATTTTTAAAAGTTCAAATTTGGCATGAAAATTTTGGATGTTACATTAATGATTAGACTATATTATTTAAATAATATTTTTACATAGACGTAGTGGGTAAACGAGCAACGAACTATACTGCAACCCTTTTTTTACCTGATTCGACTAAACAAATTGACTAATTTTAACAAACTTATTGGTATGTCCTATCATATTGGCCCAGTTTGGCTTCCCACTAACAAACCCATAAACAAAAAAGACAAAGAATATATTTTTTATGTGTATTAAGAAAGAGAGAAGGGTAATGAGAGGGTAAGAGTGAGAGTGAGAGTGAGATCAGTTTTCTTTTTGTTTCCCATAAATAAAATAACATTTTAAAGTTGGGCATGGACAAAAATCACAAAAAAGGTATTTGATTTTAAAAGAGTTAGGTGTTGATTTCTTAGAGCAAAAATGTATGCAGTCTGTGGATCATATCTGCAGACATCTACACTAGAAGAGGTGGACCAAATGTCTGCAGCCTGTAAGAAGAAGACTGTTTATTTTTTAAGGTCTGTAAGTTGTTAAAATAAACTGAAATTTACATCATTCATTCCATACTTTACATTAAACTGCGAAAACTTGTTAAAAACATAAACAAACATAAATATGAAATTGGAAATCAGCATATAAAAAAACCATACATATTTTTATTATACACAAGCAAACATAAAACATGAACAACATAAATAAAACAATAATTTTTGAATGATTATACCACATTTCATGATGTGTAATATCAACTTGTTTACAATGTCACCCATTAGATTTAAATCACAATACTCAATATACATAAACAAGAATTTTTCAATCATTATACCACATGCTATGCATGGTATAAAAGAAACATAGTAAGTGGGTTTAGAACAAATGATGAACATGTCTAAGTTATATTCACGCGAAAGAACAAAGAAGGAGTTACAAATACAACCAATCCATAATAAGAAATCATTGACCAAATATGAATTCAATTTAAAAAAGTTATTTTTCCTATTTCCAAACATCTTGTGTGTCCGATTGTGTTTTTCAACATCAGTAAAAAAAATGTAGCCATTTTTTCTTCTTGAATCGATCACTTGTAAACTCAAGAAAAATCAACTCTCAAGTCTGATGTCAGTTGTGAGTCTATCTCTTCTCTCTAGATTATCAGTTCAACAAAAATAAAAAATCGAATAACAGAAGTTTAGTCATCAAGTTTGCTGTCAACGTTCTTGGATAATTTCTTCCAAACAAACCTAGTTATAATAATTGATGAACACATGGTATATATTCAAGAATAGTTCTTTTTAGAAATAGTTTTAATCTAAATGAAATCAAGTTACAACACAACAATTTGAAGCATTTTGCGAAAGCAAATTTCAACAAATTTCAACAATAATACATAACCAATCTGGTTTCATAAGACAAATTCACACACACAAAAAAAAAAAAATTGATTTCACCATTTTGAAATCAGATTTCATGAACCCTAGAAAATACAATGAGGTTGTTACCTGGAGGAGGAAGTGGTCGGAAAGAAGAATGCAATATAGGAGAAACGGCGGCGACGTTGGGGTTGACTCCAACATCAGAATCGGATAGGAAGAGAAAGACGGCTAGGTCAGGCGGTGCACCTGGATGTCGGCTGCACAAGGAAGAGACATGAGGTTGAAGAAGACCGGTGGAGGGAGGCGTCGATGGTGAGGGATGCTTCGATGTTGGAGGCGTTGATTTTGGAGGAAAAAAATCAACGTGTTTTTATTTGGCTTAGGTTTATAAGACATTCTATGTTTGTGTCAAGAAGACCTCATGCAGATGTTTTTAGGTCTGTGTACTTCAAAAAAACAATCTATAACGACATATGTCTGCATGTGGTCTGCGAGGTGCACACGGAAGCAATCAATGCAGATCTGCAGACAAAAAACAAACCCTTTGTTAAAAAAAAAAATGGAAATGGAAATGGAAAGTTAACAGCTACATTGACCAAATTATAGTTTCTTTTGTTGTTTTGTCAAAATGTATCGTGGTTTTCTTACATATTTTTAATGCCAACTATGATAGAAGTTAATGAGCTCAATCATGAAGAATCTTTATGAAAAAATTTAATATCAAATTATAATCGTTTTAAAGAGGCCATTTGTAATGATCGTGGGAGCCTAAAATATCCTATCGTGAGAGGGGCCGGCTTTCCATACAAAATTGGCATTCTCCATTTTATCAAACAAAACTATGTACACAATCTACAGTCTTATGGAATCTATTCCTTCACTCACTGATGCACGTTCAAACACGCAGCAACCCTAATTTCTTCTAAACATATAATTCTCCTGTTTTAATATAGTATATTTTCCCTCGGATTCATCAAAATATCCACCAGCGATCCTCATTCTTGTTCATTTGTTTTGTAATTAACGTGTCTGATCATATCTCAATTGCAATCACTGTTTCGTGAGGTGGGTTCTCGTCATTTCTGATAATGACGACTGCTTCTGCACATTGTTCTTTGGGCGTCAATGCTCAATTTCATGAAAATTCAAGAAATTTTCCTTCTAAATCGGAGTCTTCAAGTGTTAATTTTCATTCTAATGGGGAATTCTTCAAAATCAGCTTGAAACCTAGCTTGGGTTCGTCAATTTGCTCCAAGGTATGCTACTCTCATTTTCGTCATTTCTGTTATTATTTATATTCACTATTTAGGATCGACTCACTTACATCAACAATTTCAAGTCGTAGGTTATCCTTTTAGAATTGTTTGTAACTTGTTTTTGCTTATTATTCTAATCGTATTCATATGTCTATTCTTGATGCTTAATTCTCATTGGGGGTGGGTGAATGAACGTTGACTAGTGTTAAACTATTTATGAAAAGTACTTAATTGCTACTAAATTATGTTATACAGTTTAATATATGTTAGGGGGTGTTCATATGTGCTTTTCAAAGTGATTATTACTACACGAAGGATCATTATTAGATCATCAACTTATTCAAGGCATGTATAGTTAGTAATATTTTTTCCTACCCAAAAAGTTGGAATATGAACCTACTTTCAATCTCTTGTGTATGAAAAAGACAAGAATGCCCTCCGCATCTTCATTAATTCCAAGTGTCATTTCTATACACAGGGATGTGTAGGTCGTGTATGTTCTCTACCCGAAATAGGCGATTTGTTTCCGGAAAAGCCCCCAACACCTATACTTGATACAGTTGAAAGCCCCATGCACTTAAAGAACCTATCTCACAAGGTTTAGTAACTTCTTACTTTTTGTCATCTAAATGACCAACATACCCTTTAAATGACCGAAATACCCTTTATATATTCTTTTTGTGTATTTTGTCATCACTCGCTGACCAAGCTCTATGTAGGAAATGAAACAATTGGCTGATGATATTCGCTCAGAGTTGTTGTTTATAATGAATAAAACTCAAAAATCCGTGAAGGGTAGCATGTCAGTAGTGGAGTTGACTATTGCTATACATCGTGTCTTTTCTGCTCCCATGGACAAGATATTGTGGGATGTTGGAGAGCAAGTAAGGATGTTTTTTTTATGCTCATTGTATCTTTGGCAAATTCAATAAATAACAATGTACTTTCACTTTAGTTTAAAGTGATGTTGCAATTTGCCCTTTAATAGTTCTAACATGAAAGATTATGAAATTTGATGCTTTTATGATGATGAATACAATATGATTATTGTATTTGAATTCTTGAATTTTAAAGTTGGCAAAAAATAGCAACACCCATTCACTTCATTTCTAGTTTGATCACAAGACTTTGAAGATTGTTACTGAAACCTACCAATTTTAGAAACTATTATAAAAGTCATTCAACCACGTCAGCTTTTTATAGGTTTCTTTTCAAAAGTACCCAAAATAATCAATTGTAAGGTACAACGGTTTTAATAAAATTTGAAATGAAGTGAAAGTACGTTGATAATCATTGCAATTCCTTTTAGTAGTTCTAACATAAAAGATTATGAAGTTTGGTGAACTTATGAGGATGGAAACAAATGCAATATGATTATTCTAT